CTAACGATAATATTCTTTGGTTTGCGTAACATTTGATAGAAATGTATGAACGACAACCGATGGTTTTGCTTTAGAAAATTTTTTATATGTGGTATACATATAATTATAATATTTATACAATACTGCAATAATTAAGTATTTATTAATTATTCAAATTCTATTGTCAAATAAAGTAATACAATAATATCTATCATCGATCTACAGTATGTCTTATCTACTTACATTACAAAAAAAAAAAAAAAAAAAAAGATATGAAATAACTCATTATTAAACATAAAGTCAGATATAACCGATGTAATTATAAATCTTTACTTCTAGTAATAACAGATATCAGGATTCTGAACTAGTAATACTATGAAGCATAACTGGAGATGCTATGAAGCATAACTGGAGATGCTATGAAGCATAACTAAAGTTTCTTGGCTATCATCAATAAATTATATTAGAAATTTGGAATAAATAAAAGAGAAAAGTAATTAGTCACATTCAATACCTTTGAAAATCACCATCGAGTTTTAAATATCCTTGTTTTTCAAGCTTTGCAAAAAGGTTTTGGAATAAACGAAGTAATTTTGGATATCCAGTGATAAAAGTTTGCCGCATTAAAGGAGATCCTATAAAATAAAGATTATTAAAAATCAAATGCTAATTATAGAACGATAAATTTAAATTGATAAATATAATCACCTTTTGTAACTTCTTTTAATTCTCTTTCAAAATTCAAAGATAAAGTTTTCCAAAAATGCTGAATTAAACCTCCATCTAATGTCTAAACATGTAAATACCAAATAAAAATTTTAAACCATCAATAATCTATACGCTAAGAGTTGTTTAAAGATATTCTATAAAAGACATTAACCTTCGCAACTTCATCCAAATATGAAACTTGTGTTATTTCATCCTTTTCATTAGCCAACACGTATTCTAGAGTATATATCTGTGTATGAATTTGCACAAATATTATCGATCGATCAAAGTTCGTACAATATAGCATAAATTTCACAAAAACATATTAATAAAAACATAGGTAACCTTACTACAGGTTTCAGCAATGTTATCCATCAAAACTTCCATTCGCTTCCATAGTGCTGAAGTGATTATCGCGGTAGATCCTGCAGTTGGTTCTGAGCCTAATCGTCTAATTCCTTTCATCGAGGCAGCACCAAAGTCTATTAAATATCATCAAAGTATGATTAATAATCGACTCTTTTTAAAATATAAATATATTAAAATGTATGCATATGAAGCCTAAAAGTTAACCTTTAATCTCTTTTTGAAGTGAAGCAGAATCAATAGCATTTCTCATTTGATCCAATAATTTTGCAAATATATCATCCACATATTTTGATACCCTCTCACCCATCTCATTAAGTTCATAAAATATTTGAAGGCCAAGAGTAATGTCAACTTCTTTCTAGTCATAAACAGAAAATTATAGTGAGTCGAATATCGTCGACTTATACTGATACATTATTAAAAATAGCAAACCTTATTGTCTAATCCTTCACTTAACAAACGAAATGCTTCGTCCGAAATCTTTATCTTTGATTGTCGAACTTTAGGCAGTTGAATTTGGACAAGATCAATTCCCTCAAAATCAACTTCTTTTAAAAGAGCCTCTATCAAATCGAATAAAGAGAAACTATCAATACCACTATATTATACATTAAAATACCGAATAAACCTACCATATAAAGCTGCTTACCCAATTCACTAATACTTGAAGCAGCTTTAATACACTCGTTGCCTTTATCACATTCTTTACCAATGTCTACTAACTGATTTTCTAAGCATTTTGCTAGATAAAAGAATCGAACAACCTTTCGTAATAAATCTGAAGCAATTTGTAACCTTTCCAATTGTACAGTGTAATTTTTTATTTGTGAATAAGGTGTATATATTTTTGTCTTAAGCCTAAACGAGAAAAATTTTTTTTGATTAATTAAATTGTTTTAAGCATTATTAAATATATATTTAATTCAATTCCGTTTTATAATTACCTATCTAAAGATATATTAAGAGATTTAATTCCTTCTTTAACAGAATTTAATACAATTTCTAGATCTCTTATTCCAGCGGCTTGCAAAATTAAATCCTCGAAATGGGCAACAACCTAATAACCATGTAAAGTGATTTAGAAATTTTAAAAATAAATTGACATTAACAAAAAACATTTTATAAACTAAACCTGGTCATGTAATTGTTTATTTAAATTATCAATACTAAATGATAATTTTGCAAGTGATATTGTTATATCACCTTCACCGTCTGAAGTGGAGTTTACAGCAGAATTTGCATACTCTTTAGGATCAAAATTGTTCGATAAAAATGCCTTGTAATCTTAACAAAATTTAGAGTTAGTGCAATACGGCGAATGGAAGAAGACTTGTTTGTTGTTTGCTCACCTATATAAAGATCTGTTTCTGGCAAATTACTAGCCATGGTAATGAAAAAAATTCATGTACGTACGTGCGTACATACGTATCTCGAAATGAATTTTTATTTTTTTTGATATTTTTTTGATTGGCTTATCTGTGCTGGTGATGATCACGTTTATTCTCCCGGTATATAAAAAAATAATGAATATTATTTAATAAAAAAAGAAATTTACATATAAAAAGCATCAGTAGTATAGTGGCAGAATACTCGCCTTCCAAGCGAGTGGCCCGGGTTCGACTCCCGGCTGATGCAGCAGCCTGAACCTAAATTTTTTTTTTCCTATTTGGTTAATTTTGTGATTGATTGGTATTACTAACATGTGACAATCAGCCAATAAAATTATACTTTTAACTCTTGTTATAAAAGAATAAAAAAAGAAACGGTTTTAAAAAAAGTATTCTATAAGCCTTATAAGTACAATTGTAAGTAATTGACTAATCAGAAGGAGGTTAGCCTATATACTAACTCTAGCCTGTATACCTAATCCTTCATCTTTAGAAGCAATCAGTGACAAAATTCTTGTTTTTATTGCTCAAAATATTAAACATAAATGAGATCAGCGTAATAAGTTTGGCCACATCCTAACTAGCATTGTAAACAAATATTTTACAAAATTGCAATATATCGTAATTAAATTTAGAGTTATAAAAGCAAAATTTTATTACTGTAATAATAATTTTGTCATTGATATAGTACATGTATATATGTAATGCCCTTTATTGTACGTACGTACGTATGTACAGTGAAGGTATTCAGTAAAGTAGTACAGTACGGCAATACAGATTCGGACGGACATACAAAAATTTTACAAGAGTTTGATAGTACGTACGGTTAATATAGACTTACAAAAATCAATTTTTATAAGTTACCATTTTTAATGGTTAGGGTTGTTTCATGTCGGGGTTAGTAGTAAAAGCAGGCCTACCGAATAATTGATTGTGGGGGCAATTAATTGCAATATTTCGAACTCAATTAATTGATTGATGGC